TTGGGATTTGCAAAACTGACCAACATTCTTTTTGGAAAGTTTGTAGAAATGCTAAGAAGTGAAATACCACAAAACCTCTCCAAGTCATTTCATTTGTTTGTGCGCTCTCTCACTCTCTCTCTCTCTCTCTGAATTAAGTATCTCCTAAACTTCTACTAAATTATACTAAATCTTTCACGAGCTCATTTTCACACAAGCCATTTATTGACCTTTTGGTGAAGAAAACTTTTAATACCTTTATTCTAGACCAGGAAACTGACACTGAGAAGATGAAATAATCTGCTAAAGTGACAGAGGTAAAGCTAGAACTCAAACTTCCTCAGTCTGTTTCCCAACACGTGAAATCATGCGGACATACAATAGCAGGCTGTTTAGACAGACTTGAAACCACAACCCATTTATGCTGTTTACATTGCTTACCTCATGTTTGGTCTCAGGTAAGTGTTCCAAACCTCTCAAAATCCCAATATACTCATTTGGAAAATAGAGTTAGAATGGTAATGGATACAGAAGTGTGAACATGAAAGGAGTTCCCTACTCTTTCCTTCTACCTGGTCCTTTAATTCTAAACAAAACATTCACTATGTACATAAACATTTAATACCCAACAAGGTTATTTCATTACTGATGAAATAATAAAAAAATTCAGTGTAATAGGCAAAAATGATTATAGTAGAAATTGTTCTCAAGTGTGTACTATTAAATAGCTGAAAAAGAAGTTTGTTTATTCCTGGTACAAGTGCTCTTGCTCAGCTTTTTCATTCACAATTGGTGTTCTACCACTTGAGACATAGCTTTAGTTCAGGTTTTTTTTCCTGTTTAATTGGAAACAGAGTTTCTCAAACTCTTCTGGCTGGTCTGACTTTGATCCTTGATCCGCAGAACTCCTAAGTAGCTAGATTACAGTGTGTGATGCTCAGGCTCAGCTACAAATAATTATTCTTTAAAAATTCACTGATTTTCAGCCTTAAAATGAGATGGGTTACATCAAAACTTCAGGCTTTGAACTTATTCTCTGGTATCTAATGAATATATTTGTCTCCAAAGATAAATAATTTAAATCACATGAAAGAGCTACGGATTATTTCTTCAACATGTGCCATTGTTTTGGGACTCCTGAGTGAGGTACTAAAGCAGCTATCATGTCCCACTTTTGTTCCTAGGAACAAAAGACAAGCAAGATTAGCACCACAAGAGAACTGGAACCTGGTTCCTGAAAGACCCTGCTGTGCTGCTTGGATGAGGACGAATCTAAGGCACTTATGGATGGAGACTGAATGGAAGGTAAGAGGCTGCCCTGATCACAGAATTGGGGCAGGGAGATGGAGAAGTACAATGTATGGAGAGAAGCTATATTTAAAAGGAATGCATAGTCTGCCACCAGGAAATTAAGCAATTATCAAGTATGATGCAAAATTATTACAATGTACCATTTGGTTTATAATATTTCCTCAAGTTTCAACTTAATGCTAGAGAAGTGTGTGCCAACCTTATACCTGAGTGGCTCTTGGCAAGATCCTGCAGGACTGGGATTGTGTTATGCATATGTGAGAGATTATTAAATGCTTTACAATCATGTCAAAGGTCATATTCCTCATACACATAACTTCACTTGCTATTAGGAGTTAGACATGTACATGAATAGACAATGGTCTCCTTCCATTAAATGCAAACAGGCTGAAATTACTGTTTAAGTTGCCAGGTCATAAGAGAAAAGAGATCAAAGTAATGAGGGTGAAGTTGTATAATCAGTTTCTAAAAGAAATTATGCTGAGGTCAAGGCTGACATCATCAGCTCCCACACTTTTAAGTGCACTTAAAAACGTGAGTCTCCTTTTTTTTTAAACACTAATACTGCTCTGATATTCAAGTAGTTTCTTATTTCTTCTCCATTTATATGTAGTTAAAGCACTGTGTCAGTCAACTAACAAACCTCCAGAGGCTCCCAACTGCTCAAGGACAGAAATCCAACTCCTCAGGAGGTCACTCAGCTTTCCTAAATTTGGCCCATTCTTCTAAGCTAGGAGTTTTCAACATTGGCTGAATATCAGAACCTGTGTGGGAGCTCTACAAAATAAATAGGCACATGCCCCATGCCACACAACTTCTACATAGTAGTTCTGGGGTAAGATCCAGGGACTTGTAGCTTTCAACTATCTGAATGACTCTTACAGCCCTGCCAGGGTTATGCCACAGATCTAATTTTCCCACCCATTACTTCACTCAACATGAAGTAACTCTTCTGTTCCAGCCAATAAGAGTATTTGTCTGTTTGTGTTCTCCAGGCCTCCATTCATGCCAGTAATCCAACCTGGAACTGTCATTACTCTCCAGCTCTTTATTTACAACTTCACCACTGTTCACAATGAAGTGGGATGCCCCCACTATCTTTGGATCCAATGTAATTATGATGATAATGATGGTGATACATTGCCATTGTGCTAATCCTGAACTGCCATAAAATATTTTATGGCAATTAATGACATTGTTTCCACTGTGGATGTCTTTTTAATAGTTTGCTTCCTGTATTTCAGGCTTGTGAGGGAAGCAAACTTTTTGTAAGATCTTTTGTTCCCATTCCCTAGCCTCTAGCACTAACAGACAACAGTATTAAAAGCAAAGATATCCATGTGCTTGATAACTATGATGACTGAATAAATTAAATATCTGAAATTTAAGAAGTGTTTTTTTCTTACAGCCTGACAACCCAAACTGTCAGCTTTGAGTGCTGTTTATGCACACACTGACATGTTTTTCCCTAGACACATCATTATACCTGTGTGGAAATGATAATCACTTATTCACAAAAACTGATGTGATGTCAAATAAAGGGAAGTTACCTATAAATATGTTTTTTCTATAGATAGAACTATTTTCTACGTTTGCATATTTTCCATGTATCCACATGCTGCTATTTGTAGAAGTGAAGAAAGGAGGAAATAGTAAACCAGTTCCTACTTTGTCAACATCTGGCTTACAAAAAAACCACTGACCTCTTTAACGTGAAAAGGATGTCTAAAATCTCATCCTTGTCCACTGAGAGAAGAACTAGAGAGATAGTGTTTATTTTCCCTTAATTTAGATGACATGAGAGAATCAGTAACCTATAGGTATTGTGATCCAAGTACTGAAAGTTACAAAGCTACTGGTAGGAGAATAGCCAATATGAGTCACCACTAGAGCTACAGCTAAGCGCAGAAACTTGCTGTTGCATATCTAGAACATGAGAGATATTCTTCCATGTGCAAAACTGTAATTTCGCCACAAAACAGGGTTGTACATGGTGGCTGTCTGTGGTTAAAATAGCACTGATACTTGTGAGTTAAATAGTCTTGGGAAGGAGGACAAAGAATCCAAATACTATTTATAACATTGTTTTTGTGGAAAAATGCTTTCTGCATTCCAAACAATAGAACTAGCCATTAACTTCTGAGATACAGATTGTTTCTAGACTGGGGTGTAACTGCATCTTGTTAAGGACACCAGGGTTGGTATTTTCCTTGGATAAGAAAGAATAATTACCATGAATATAAGCTGTATGTGCCTATGAGGATGAAAGATAGAGGAGAGGATGGGAGAAAAAGCCAAATACATTCTTAATTACTAAATCAATTATTTACTGAGCACTATTAAAAAAGCTGTAGTGAGTGTTGTGAGGAAAAAATTAGTCAGACAAGACCTTTGGATTTATATCCTTACGACCTAGGCTGGCCATGATAGACATAAACACAAATGATAAGGTTACATGAAAACAGTGCCATTACAGAGATTAAAAAATTTTTTTAGATGCAGTCAATACAAAGAGTAGAAAGAGCTACTGCTTCCAGCTAGTGTAATCAGGGAAAGTTTCATGCAGAGGCTTACAAGGGGTTTCAAGGCACAGAGAAAACAGAAAAGGAGGGAACACAAGGAGTACAAACAGCAAAACAGCAGAAGACAGATGCATGGAAGATAATGCAAGCTCAGGGAGAGTAGAGCTGACACAAGGTGGGGATGTTTGGGGAGTATGATGAGGGTTTGAATGCCAGTAAAAGGAACATGGATTCCATCCAGCAGAGACCAGAAACCCTGAGGTTTTAAAATTACCAAAGTGGTTCTATTCGAAGATTTATGTGGCAGCAGATTAGATGGAGAAGACAGAATGAATGTAGAATACCCAGTAACAACTGAGACTACTTATGATGACTTTTCAAAGCCAAGGTTTTTTGTTTTGTTTTTTTTTTTTGAACAGTTAGCAAATATTTAAAGCTTGTCTTAGTTAATTAATAAATTATTCTCTTCAATATGAACATATAAATAATTTAGAAACACTATCTGAAAACAAAACCTGACTGGTTGTGGTAGTTCACCGTGTGATAATAGCCATGTAATTTTTAGGTAGAGAGCTGAAGGATTGTGGTTCAAGGCCAAGTAGACAAAAAGTCAGGAGACTCCATCTCAACCAACAGTAGAGTGTGGTGGCACACATCCGTCAGCCCATCTACATGGGAGGCATAAATAGGAGGATTACATGTCAGGATGGCCAGGTAAAAAATGTGAGACACTGTGCTCCCCCCAAATAATTAAAGCAGAACAATACACAAAAAACGAAACAAAAACGCCAAAGGGCTAGAGGAAATGACTCAAGTGCTAGAACATCTAGATAGCAAGACCTTGAGTTGAATCCCAGTACAGAAAAAAGAAAACCTTAAAAAATTGAAAAATAAAATATTAGCTAGAAAGGAAAAAAAATTGAAAGCACATAATTAAGACTTCATAATTAGACTTATTTCAAATAGAAGGATGATTCTGAGGTATTAGTCTCAACTTTAAAATACAACCATGAGTTTAAATGCTACATCTTATTAAGCATATGGAATTTAACAAATTATTTCCCACCATTTTCTGAGACCAATGATTCCATATTCAAGATGATTTTGAGATAGTCCAAGAAATCTGAGATCAATGTTGAGTTAGTCTTGGGCTGATGCTAATGCAGATAGATGTGAACACAGACTTACTTGAGATGATCTGTGCTAGCAAATGTTTTCTAACTTCAAAACTTCCACATGGGATGACACATGGCATTCATCGTTATCTGAAAGCAAATGGAAAGGAAGTAATGAAATTAAAAGAATTGATATGCTGCTTAGAGAAACCAATTAGATAATTACACTTGAAAGACCATAAAAGAGTTATATGAAGTACTGTAAAATTGACATTACTTATACTATGTATAATTTAAGAACCTAAAATAAAAATCTCAAGCCACACTCAAAGACTTCTAAAATAGACGATACAATATTTCCTCTCATATATTTAATGTCAATCTCCTAAAAATTTGGGGAAATACATTATTTGATGTTTAAACTTGGCTTAAATGATTTAAAATTCAGCCAACACTTGCATCTTAATCACTATCCCAATGAGTAAGGAGGTAAGAAGTTGAGTAGGAAACAGTTCTTGTTCTCAAGGCACCCTATCTCCAAAAAATACAAATGTGAATGAGCCCATATTTAAGGTAGATATAACAAGTGTTATCAGTGACACAGAGGTCAATGGTATTTGGGAGAAAATTAATTAGTACAGGGAATGTGTGGGAGAAGGCTTGGTATACTAAATGTAGAGAAGGAGAAGAGAGTCTTGACAGTGGAGTTTTAGGATGAAATCATACTGCAAGAGTTTAACATTAGATCCAGCTCACTGATTTTTTTTATACATAAAATGAGTCATCAAGTGTATTTTCCCTTGAAAACATCAGGTGTTTTTATTAGAAAACACACTCAAATTTATATTTTTAAATGTGGGTCTTGTTTTGGGGTATGAGTTACTGTGAGAATATTCATTAGCTAGCAAAATATATTGTAATAATAATCGAGATGAGAAGAAACCAGGGCAACTGCAATGGAAATAAGTGGTTAAAACTTCATTGATGTGAGGACCAGAATAAACACTGGATCAATTATGCAACACTGAGAACTAGCACAATCATCAAGCTTCAGTTATAATAGTAAGTAGAACATCCTGAACTTCCAAAGAATTTTCTTTTTAAGCAGGGAATCATGTGCTGTTTTCATCAACCATACCCTGAAGAAACCAACTAATCCAATGTCTCACTTCCTTTCTTCTATCATGTCTTAAAACTTCAGAGTCTACTCTGTAATCCGTAAAAACTCCAACTCTCTTCAGTCATCTCTGTAGTCTCTCTCACTACACAAAGTCAATGCAACAGTTTGCTCATCTAAATGGTTTATTTGAGGAGAGACTTTCCACAAAAGATTGATACCTAGTTTTGAAGTCAGAGAGGAAGAGTAAAAGGAAAAGGAATCCTGTCCTGTCCTCTCTGTAGGACAGAAGGAGGCTGAAAACTTAAGTCACCAATGACCTTAGAGAGACATATCAGTACAGTAATAAAAGAACAATAATCCTAGCTCAGAAGATAGAGATCCGGAGGATCATGTTTCAAGTCCAGCCACAGCAAAAACTTTCATTAGGTACAATCTTAGCCAGTAAAAGCTGGGCAAGGCAATGTGTGCCTGTTACTCTAACAATATCAGAAGTAGAAGTAAGTGGATCATAGTCCAGTCAGCCTAGGTATAAACATCAGAACCTATTCAAAATATAACTAAAGCAGAAGGGGCTAAGGTAATGGCTCATGTGGTAGAGTGCCTTCCTAGCAAACACACATTCTAGTTCTACCAAAACAAAACACAAACAAAACAAAACAAAAATAAACAGAAAAATATAAGGAAGTGGAATTATCTAGTAAGCTTGTACTCTCCTAAGAAACCTGGCATAGTCTGAAAGGGAAGCTAACTCCTCAGTAAGCATCCTAAAATGTTATTGATCACTTTCCAAATCATCTGTAATGCTAGTAAAAAGAAGAAATCAAAGGAAAGAGCCTATATATGGAACATATCTAAGAGAAGACAGGGACAGGAATGCTGGAGTTTGCTTTGTTAAAAAGGAAAAACAGGTCTTTACAATCAAAAGCAAGCCAAGGATGGATGACAGATATAGATAACAAGGGTGTGAGAGAGGGAGTAAAGTTGAAAAAGTTCAGATCTAATGGCAATGCCATCTACTGAAGTGGGAGAGGCAGGGAAGAGAGAGAGGTGGGGAGATATCATATGGGTGAAAGAACATTTGAATTTAACAATTTGAGAGGAGAGGAGGGAAAAGAGAGGCCTTTCAGTATTTGAGATCCTGCAAAAAATTCTGGCTGATAGAAATGATGAAGTTACTAAATGAATTCCAAGTATGAAAATTTAGAAATGAACTTGGAGATAGATGTGGAATAATCACATGGTAAGGGGTAGAGGTGCTAGCATCAAGCCCAGTGCTGATGAAATTGGGAAAATGGGAAAAGCATCCCAGAAATCAACCAGTAGGAGAAACTAGGAAGGAGAGGAGTGAAGAATTAGAAGACTAGGAACCAATGGGTCAAGGTGGCACACTGATCCTTGAATTCACAGAAGGGAGCAAAAAGACACACTAGCCCTCTTTTCACATCTAGAATGTTTTAAATTTCATGCTTTCTCCTAAGACAATTATTAAAATAATGAAAAAGAAAACTAGGTATAAGTCTCTAGACAAGGGAAAGAAGAGTTAGAGAAAAGGATCAATCTTCTAAGAACTTTTTCAAAATAAAGCAAAAAGATTGAAGTAAGGAGGTCAGGTCTGGCCAGTGCCCTATTGGCCATATGGTGGATGGGTAGGGTCTGGCATCTTGTCTTCATGCTAAGGGAAGAAATTCCCAATCCCTCCATCACCTGCCTCCCAGGTAATGGGTGTGCCAGGATCCCCAGAAGCAGCAGCAGGCATTTGGCTGATAGGTTACTGAATCTGTAAGTCCAGTGCCTGGGACTGGGAATTTCCTGAGGATCTACCCCCAGAGCCCACCTATTTAGGCCCAGACCAGCCTAGCAGCCAGGGCACCACCATTCCACGCATGTCTCTGTGATCGTGTCCTGTGTCCTGTCTCCTGGCTGTCTCCAGTCATCATGGAGTCCCAATTCAGCTCCCCATTGGAGCTGAATTGGCTTGTTGGTATTGTTTTTGTTATTTCTTTCCTCTTTAGCATGTTTCCTAGCTGTGTTATGTGTATTTGCGTGCTTCAGGCTTGTGTAACAACTGGAGGCCTGCAGCCTGTTCACTGTATAATAAAGACTCCAATATTCTATAATTTAAAATGTGGATGTTAATCAATGATTAAGGTAAATCGATGATTTACCTTACAACAAGATCAACATGATATTGAAATGGGAAGTAGGTCAGCTGTAGACTACTGTATTCTATAGTGTGTGTGTGTGTGTGTGTGCGCGCGCGCGCGCGCGCGCGTGCGTATGTGTGTGTGTGTGTGTGTGTGTGTGTCTTTTATTCAACTGTTTCCTGACCATATGTGAAAGCAGTGTCTGGCTCAGAACTTGCCTGAACAAAACGTGCATGCATTCTGACCATCCATGTAGTAAACTCAACAGGACAGGCTAGATCTGATCAATGTGAAAGGAGGAAGACTGCATGCACACCTAGGCTCACTCTTTTTCCTTGTAATGATGTTGAATGTTGTCATATATTTGTTGGCCATCTGTATTTCTTCTTTTGACAAGTGTCTACTGAGATCATTTGCCCACTTTAAAGTTACATTGATTACTTTTTTAAAATTCTTTGCATTTTTATATATATTGTGGATGTCACTCCTCTGTCTGATCAGGCAAAGATTTTCTCCCATGTGTGGCTGCATCTTCACTCCATTACCTCCTTGGCTGAGCAGAAGTCTTCATTTGATAGAATCCGATTTGTCTTTTTTTTTCTTGCTGGTTTTCTGTGCTTTGGGAATCATGTTCAAAAACTCATTGTATATATAAATGTTCTGAAGTGCTTCCCCTATGTTTCTTTTCTAACAGTTTGAGAATTTCAGGTCTTACATTAAGGTCTTAAATTCATTTTGAGCTGGGTTCATTGTGTGCAAGGGAGTCTTAAGGGTTAAGTTTCAGCCTTCTACATATGGACATGCAATTTTCCTACCACCAGGCATTAAAGAGGCTGACCCTTTCTCCAATGTAAGTTTTCGGTGCTTGTGTTGAGACTCTGTTGGCTGTTGATGCATTGGTTTTATGGCTGGGATCTGTATTTTAGTCCAGTTGGTCAGGGTGTGGTTCTGTTCTGCATATAATACAGTAAAAACCAAGGTTTCTTACTTTCTCCTAGCAAGGTCCCTCCCATGCTTCCCTGTATTAGGCAAGCAGAGTCAGCAGCTGTTGACCTCAATCCAAACCAGTCTCCTCTAATGTAAAATGTCTCTAAGGTATCCTGCAGTGTGCTGCAGCTGGACTTGCTGCCACATATATGGACCCTGCCCCCTACACCCTCCAAGACTGCAGAGATTTCCTTGTACATTTGCAGGTCAACTTCCCAGACTCCCCAACTGCCCCAGGCTCAGCAACCATCCCAAGGGGAAAACTAGCTATGTGTTCATGACTCTTAAGTCCTGTTTACCCCACTAGACTATGTGATCATCAAAACTCGAACCATCTTTCCTTTCCTTAGGAGAGTCTCACTTCTATAGAAAACTGCACTGAGCAAATTCCCCAGGAGAAATGGTTGCTATCACTTCAACACATGTGGGCTTCTCTGAAATGTGTTTGTCTATTCTCTTCACTTTTATAGATCTCCATGCAAAACATGATTGGGGTGGATTTGAAGGTTGTCACTTTGATACTTGGACAGTTTTCCCAAATACAAGAGGACATGTATGTACCACCCCTTCCTTCACTGTGGGAGAGCTTTCACCTCTTGTTCTGAAATATAAAAGCACTGAGCTGCCACAAAAGAGGCTAAACTTGATCTTTTATTTTTGGTTTGTTTTTAAAGGTTTTGGTTTAATCTTGTTTTTCTATTATATTATCTGTGTATTTAAATTTTATTTATTTCTACATATAATTTTTGTTTTCTACTTACTTTGGATTTATTTTGCTTGTTTCTTCCAATTTAAAATGAAAGTTTAGATAGCTTACTTGAGACCTTTCTTCTTTTCTAATGTTGTTTTAAAGCTATGTATATTTTTCCTCTAACTACCTGTGTAGCTGTATTCCATAA